CACAAGCTGCAGGCATGGCACTGTGGGCACCGTCACAGCTGGTGATAGTGCTCACTAGCGGCTGCATGTCCCTGTGCCCCCAGTTTCTGCACCCCAGAATTGCTATACGGTAGTGCTTTGAGACCATCAGAGCTCATTGGGGACCAGGCTGACCGGCTCCTGGCACAGCCTGCTACAATGGGTAGGAAAATCAACTGTGATCATGGGTCACTTCAGTCTAACTGACACCTTCATAGACTCCAAGGCCAGAAGGGACATTGTCATCATCTACTGTAACTTCCTGTGTAACACAGGCCAGAGAACCTCCCCAAAATAATTCCTTGAGCCACCTCTCTTAGAAAAACATCTATCACAGCCTTTGGTAAATTGTCCTAGTGGTTAATTACTCTCACTGTTAAAAATTTACACCTTATTTCCAGTCTAGACATGACATACTGCCAGTACTAAAACATCTTTGGCATTTCTAAATATTATAGATAGCAATATTCTAACTCAAGGTATTGCATCCAACACAGGAGAGTTCTGTATTAGACCTTGTCTTGACAGATAAAATGGAACAGATCGCAGAACTAAAAATTAATGGGTGCTTAAGTACACATGATCATAACTTGATCACATTTATAATGTGAAAACAGAATAAAGTCTAGACCACTAATACACACACACACACACACACACTTGGTGCTTTTAAAAGGGCCGATTTCACAAGCTGAAAACAGTTATGAGCCAAATCAACTGTGAGGAAGAATTTAATCAGAAAAATATGAATAATAATTGGGAATTGTTTAAGAACACTTTATTAGATGCCCAAAAGGCCACAATCAAGGAAGAATGCCAAGCTGGTTAAAAAAGAGACCTGGTTTAGAGGGGAAGTGAAGACAGATATAAAAAAATAAAATATAACAAATGGAAGAAAGGGGAAGTTGACAGTAAAAATTATAAATCAGAAGCTAGGAATTGTAGAAAATTGATAAGGGAAGCAAAGGGACACCAGGTGAACTCTATGACCGACAGTTAATGTCATTAAAGAGTTTTTTAAGTGCACTGGGAACAAAAAGACTCCAAACAATGGTACTAGTCCAATAGTAGATGGAAATAGTATAATTATCAATAATGATGCAGAAAAGGCAGAAGCATTCAACAAATATTGGTTCTGTATCTGGGAAAAAAAGATGATGTCATATCATATGATAGCTCTTTTTCCATTCCATTAGTATTGGAGGAGGATGTTAAATAACAGCTAAGGTTAGACATTTTAAAATTAGCAGGTCCAGTTAACTTGCATCCAAGACTTTTAACAGAGCTGGATGAGGAGCTCACTGGACTGTTAATGTTGATTTTCAATAAGTCTTGAAAGACTTAAGTTCCAGAAGACTGGAAGACAGCTGATATGCCAATTTTAAAAGGGTAAATGGGATGACCTGGGGATAATTATAGGTCTATCAATCTGACATTGATCCCGGACAATATAATGGAGCGACTGATACAGGCTTCACTTAATAAAGAATGAAAAGAGAATAACATAATTAACACCAATCAACATATGTTTATGAAAAATAGAACCTATCAAACGAAGTTGATTTTTAATGAGATTACAAGGTTAGTTGAAAAAGGTGTTGATGTATATACTTAGACTTCAGTAAAGCATTTGACTTGGTAACACATGACATTTGATTTAAAAAACTATAATGATATAAAATTAACATGGCACAGATTAACTGGATTAAAAACTAGCTAAATGATAGGTCTCAAAATATAATGGTAAACAGGAAATCATCATTGAGTCGGTGTGTTTCTAGTGGGGTTCTGCGGGGATCTGTTCTTGGCCCTACGCTATTTAACATTTTTATCAATGACCAGGAAGAAAACACAAAATCCTCATTGATAAAGTTTGCAAATGAAACAACGTGAGGGAGTGGTGAATAAGGAAGAGGACAGGTCACTGATATAGAGCAATCTGGATCACTTGGTAAGCTGGGCACAGGCAAACAATATGCATTTTAATACAGCTCCATGTAAATGTATACTGTCACAGTTTCAGGGTAACTGTGCCTGTATTCCTCCCTATCCCCATAGTCCATTCCAGGAGTGACCAGACAGGTCTCTAGTCATTACCTGGCTCTGGCTGGAGACCCTTGTCCCACTCCTTTCTGATTGGGATTTTAAAGCTGCACAGCTGCCTTACAGTGTGACATCCCCAGCAAGTCGGTCTGCCTAACAGCCAGCATCTGTTTGTTGGTTTCTCTCAGGGGGCAATGAACAGTGAGTGTATTGCCGGCATTTACAATTAACACACAGCTCTTTCTAAGCAAGCATCTTTATTCTTAAGGTAAAAGCATTACAGAAAAAAACATATAAAATAATAAATGTACATGCTTATCACCCATCAGTCTTATGGGGCCCTAGTAGGTCAAAGTCTTTCCAGCCCACAAGGGTGGCCCCCGCTTCCTGGGCCAGAAGGTCCTGTCCATTTGCCAGATCAGGTTTTTATACCAAAAGCCTCTTCTTTGTTTAAATCTCTGGAAAACACAGTTTGAAGCAGTATTTGTAAACACCCCTGGGGGTGATGCTTCTCTGGAGTTGTTTACAATTCACAGGGTAATCATCTTCCAGTGTTTTTAGTTTCTGGATGAGCTGTGGTAACCCTTCCCCATGGACTAGAACACAATCATACATAAACAATTCATAAATTGAATACAATGGTCCCCAAAGATACCGCATGGGATTGCAATATTTGGCACATACACATCTAGGAACAAAGAATGGAGGCCCTACTTACAGAATGGGGGATTCTATCTTGGGAAGAAGTGACTGTGAAAAAGATTGGGAGGTTGTGATGGATAATGATAATCAGCTGAACATGAATTTCCAGTGTGATGCTGTGGCCAAAAGGCTAATGCAGTCCCTGGATGTATCAATTGGGGAATTTGCAGTAGTACAGAGGTTATTTTACCTCTTATTTGGCACTGTGAAATCATTGCTGGAATACTGTGTCCAGTTCTGGATTCCACAGTTCAAGAAGGATATTGATAAATCGAAGAGGGTTCAGAGAAGAGCCAAGAGAACGATTAAAGGATTGGAAT